GGTCATATATCTACGTTAATTTTAACTCCAATAAAGAAAAATTGACCTCAAACATAATGAAATTGGTAGCTTTATCATTTCATAAGAAAAAAATTAGAGAAAATATATTAATTCAGGAAAACTTGGCTTATTAAGCAAATCGGGCCCTGCATAGTAGGCTGAGAAGTGCGTTCTGGCTACTAGGTACGACATATATATATATATATATATATATATATATATATATATATATATATATATATATATATTGGCCTACTATGCAAGGTGCAATTTCCTAATAAGCCAAGTTTTTCTGAATTTATATAATTTTTCAATTTTTTTTTCTTATGAAATTATAAAGCTATTCATTTCACTATATATGAGTAAATTGGTTTTTATTTATGTTAAAATTAACGTAGATATATGACCGAACCTAACCAACCCTACCTAACCTAACCTAACCTATCTTAACCTAACCTAAACTAACACAACTAAGTCAATAATTTATGTTCCTAATATAATAATAATAATTCAAATAAACTAAGTGGAAACCATTTATTGAAAAAAAAAGAAAATCACTTGGCCTATTAAGCAAATCGGGCCTTGCATAATAAGCCGAGAAGTGTGTTCTGGCTATTAAGTATGACATTATATATATATATATATTATATATATATATATATATATATATATATATATATATATATATATATATATATATATATGTCGTACCTAATAGCCAGAACGCACTTCTCAGCCTACTATTCAAGGCCCGATTTGCCTAATAAGCCAAGTTTTCATGAATTAATGTTTTTTCGTCTACCTAACCTACCTAACCTAACCTAACCTAGCTTTTTTTGGCTACCTAACCTAACCTTACCTATAAATATAGGTTAGGTTAGGTTAGGTAGGGTTGGTTAGGTTCGGTCATATATCTACGTTAATTTTAACTCCAATAAAAAAAAATTGACCTCATACATAGAGAAAAGGGTTGCTTTATCATTTCATAAGAAAAAAATTATAGTAAATATATTAATTCAGGAAAACTTGGCTTATTAGGCAAATCGGGCCTTGAATAGTAGGCTGAGAAGTGAGTTCTGGCTACTAGGTACGACATATATATATATATATATATATATATATATATATATATATATATATATATATATATATATATATATGTCGTACCTAGTAGCCAGAACGCACTTCTCACCCTACTATGCAAGGCCCAATTTGCCTAATAAGCCAAATTTTCATGAATTAATGTTTTTTCGACTACCTAACCTACCTAACCTAACCTAACTTTTTCGGCTACCTAACCAAACCTAACCTATAGAGATAGGATAGGTTAGGTTAGGTAGGGTTGGTTAGGTTCGGTCATATATCTACGTTGATTTTAACTCCAATAAAAAAAAATTGACCTCATACATAATGAAATAAGTAGCTTTATCATTTCATAAGAAAAAAATTAGAGAAAGTATATTAATTCAGGAAAACTGGGCTTATTAGGCAAAACTGGCCTTGCATAGTAGGCTGAGAAGTGCTTTCTGGCTACTAGGTACGACATATATACATACATACATGTATATATATATATATATATATATATATATATATATATATATATATATATATATATATATATATATATATATGCAATTGACGATCACAAAACACTGATCATTTTATGCGGAAAATCCACAGAGAAATATGAAATGAGGTGAACGTTTCGGTTTTGTTAAAGCCTTTGTCAACACCAGACTGACTAAGGAGAAGGGAGAAGGGGAGGATATATAGGCCGACACCTGATCATTGGATTGGATCAAATCCAATTTAATAAAAAAAATTGGATCAAATCCAATTTAATAAAAAACTCCCCTGATACAGCAGGTTGTGTGTATTCGATTCCCTGCAATGATTGTGATTCTGTGTACCTTGGACAAACAGGAAAGTCCTTACAATTGCGGTTGTCACAACATGCTTATAGTATTAGAACTGCCCAAACGTCTAATGCATTGTATCTACATACGAGTTTATGCGATCACAATATTAACTGGAATGGGGCAAAAAGCATTACCAATTGTGGGGATTTCGTGGAACGGAATTTGATTGAGTCTGCTCTAATCAGTCAGTGTCCAAATCTTCTTAATGTTAGTACTGGAATGTACAAACTTGATCCATTTTTAAGTTATAATATTGCACAACAGTTTAAGAAACAACTCTGATAGAGAGGCTTACAATGTCTCATTATAATTGTATATTCATATATTGTGTGTTCATGAGGCTTTTCTTTAATCTTTCATCCTTATTCTCTGACCGCTTAATCCTCTTTGACCATTCTAAGCTAAGCTATACCTTTTTTGGTTAATTACACCTGACCAACCCTAGGGATGGGTTGGTCAGGTGTCGGCCTATATATCCTCCCCTTCTCCCTTCTCCTTAGTCAGTCTGGTGTTGACAAAGGCTTTAACAAAACCGAAACGTTCACCTCATTTCATATTTCTCTGTGGATTTTCCGCATATATATATATATATATATATATATGTCGTACCTAATAGCCAGAACTCACTTCTCAGCCTACTATTCAAGGCCCGATTTGCCTAATAAGCCAAGTTTTCATGAATTAATATATTTACTATAATTTTTTTCTTATGAAATGATAAAGCTACCCTATTCACTATGTATGAGGTAAAAAAAATTTTATTGGAGTTAAAATTAACGTAGATATATGACCGAACCTAACCAACCCTACCTAACCTAACCTAACCTATATATATAGGTAAGGTTAGGTTAGGTAGCCAAAAAAAGCTAGGTTAGGTTAGGTTAGGTAGGTTAGGTAGACGAAAAAACATTAATTCATGAAAACTTGGCTTATTAGGCAAATCGGGCCTTGCATAGTAGGCTGAGAAGTGAGTTCTGGCTACTAGGTACGACATATATATATATATATATATATATATATATATATATATATATATATATATATATATATATATATATATATACAGTATATATATATATATATGCAGAAAATCCACAGAGAAATATGAAATGAGGTGAGCGTTTCGGCTTTTGTTAAAGCCTTTGTCAACACCACTTCAAAGCTTTAACAAAAGCCGAAACGTTCACCTCATTTCATATTTCTCTGTGGATTTTCCGCATAAAATGATCAGTGTTTTGTGATCGTCAATTGCATATATATATATATATATATATATATATATATATATATATATATATATATATATATATATATATATATATATATATATATATATATACAGTATACACAAAAAACAAAAAAGTACAAAAATAATTAAATTCTTTACAAGCGTGATCATCACTAAACGGGTTGCTCTTGTAAACTGAGGCGGGGTCGGCCGTGCCACCAGGAACCACGCGATCGGTTGACCCATACGCGTATCAACAAAGTTGCTAGGCGAGGCAAAGGTCGTAAGTTGATTTGCATTTTCTGACGAAATTTACGTTGTAACTCAAAAAATTCGTAAGTAGGGGCAGTCATAAGTTGAGGTGCCACTGTATATGATATTTCATTTGTAGTGATGTATAAGTATTAATTCACATTGCCTTATAGAAGAGAGTGGCAGTTTGACTTGGCAAGTTCTTTGAATCTTCCCTTCATCCCCTTCCCCTTTGCTTACCAGTCGGAGTCAGTACTACCAAGCCCTGTAGATAGAAATTCTCTCTTTATATCCTGGCACATGACTATATGTTTTGTGTGTTTATATATTGATCTTATGTTATACCAGGAGTTGTATTTTGTGATAATTAACTCTGTAAATGCTGAAGGATTTATTGACTTGTAAATGACTTGTTCTGAGGTTGTAATATTTGAAGGAGGTGACAGTTTACTTGCAGTGTTGGATACAGTGCGTATCGCAGCTCGGCGCCGGTTGCCAGTCGCCAGTTTACTGTTCTCTGACTTATCAGAAGAGGCAGACATGTTTGATCTTGCTCCCATATGTGGCACATTTTTTCGGTCTAATGACCTTGTAAACTATTGAAGATAATGTAACCATGTTTTTGTGTGATGGATCGTATCTACCGGTGTACACCATTTTTCTGGAACAGGTGGTAGGTGATATTTTTGTATGGCATATATGTGGTGGGTAGCTGAGAACCTTGATTGATTATTATGTATCCTAATTGATTATTATGTATTCCTCACCCACTAATTGATTATTGTGGCACCACCATCCTGTATCCTTGATTTTGTAGCATGCTAGAATTAGTGCACCACTGCACTAGGATTGGAGCCTAGTGACAGCTAGTTCATAGGGTGTGCAATTGTTATGTTCATGATAATGATTCTTTAAAGCTTTGATTCAAGCTACATTATTGTATAATGGGAGTAGCAGTGTTAGAGAACTGTCTACTTATTTTGTTACGTTATCCCGTACGTTTTGTTACGTTATGTTATCCCGGCACACCCCCCCATTTATTGTCGTGTCCTACTGCTCCACCGCATCACTAGCAACAAATACCTCAGAATATTTGTCTAGGGTTATTTAAAGGGTACTAAAAATTTACCAGTTTACTGGGGCATATCTAGCAAGACACAGTAACAAAATAAGTAGACAGTTCTCTAACACTAATACTCCCATTATAAAGGTATCAAATAATGTATACATGGAAGATTTTTGAAGGCCAGGTCCCAAATTTGAACAGTAGAATAACAACATACTGGAGCGAAAGGTACGGAAGGAAATGCAGAATACCTTTATGGGTGCCTTCCCTGGTGACACCCATCAATCATAATATAATCAATTATGATTAAGTGTAAAGTGTTCATAAGCCACTGCTCACTGCGCCTCCCTGAGCGGGGCCAGATTCTGGTTTGTGGTCCCTGGTAGACCACTAGAACTCTGCAACTGATGGCACCTTGTAGTATGGCACTAAACCAGTAATAGTAGCTTCAGGAATCCTCCGGGATTCACCCATGCACGCCAATGAAATTGGCGTTTTATTACATTCACTGATGGTTTTTCATATTTTTCAGCACGTATTGAGGATATGGACGAGACCAAGAGAGCTCAGCAAGATCTGATATTCAACTTTCCCAAACCTGAAGAAGAAACACACGTGAAAGGAAAGGAGAACCAGGGGCGAAAGTAAGGGACTTAATAGTTGTATTATTGTAATGGTAAATATCGTTTTGTTCTGGCAGTAACCTTAATGTAAAAAAATACTGCATGTGTATATGTGTAAAAATATATATATATATATATATACATATATACACTGTAGATGCTCGCTAATCCAAACTATATGGGAAGGACCCTCAGCCGGATGAGCACGTTTTTCCGGATTAACTGACTTTTCACAGCGGCCATCCAAAAATGAACATTTCCAAAAATGTTTGTACCACAAACAACATAATTTGAATTTCCCCACACTAATTAATTTGGTTAGCTGCCTGCCTGGTAGGTGGGAAGGACAAGTGGGCAGGCAGGCAGGTGGGTGGGCAGGCAGGAATAGGTGGGTTCAGGCAGGCAGGTTTTGGATGGATGGATGGCAGGCAGATTGGCTCAGTGGGTGGCAGGTGAGTTCAGGCAGGTGGGTGGGCTGGCAGGAATAGGTAGGTTCAGGCAGGCAGGTTTTGGATGGGTGGATGGCAGGCAGATGTGCAAGCAGGTGGGTGGATGGGGCAGGCAGGGATAGGTGGGTTCATGCAGGTGGGTGGGTGGGCAGGCAGGTTCAGGCTCAGGTAGGTGGGTGGGTGGGCGAGACAGACAGACAGATCACATGTCTCATTTCTGGTCACCCCACACTCCCTCCCCACCCAACCCCCATCTCACGCAAGCCCTTCCTAACTCACCCCCACGAGTGTCAACATGAGGGTGTTAACACGTTGTACGATGACTTTTAACATATGCACCTTAAGCTCTGTTAAAATCCATTTTATTTTCATGTAAATATTTAAATGAATAAATAGCCAACCAAATACTATACTGTTCAAATATTATAGTGTGTTATTTAATATTCGTAATTAGCTCTCCTTTGCAATAAGAAAACAATATTATTCAATAAATCGTGCAACACCTCCAACTGCCACCATCCCTTTGTAGGTTAACGCCAGTCATCTGGTACACACACACACTCCACACGTTACCTCCCTCCATTCCTGACTGACTCCCTCCCTCCCTCCCTTTCTGACTATCTCCCTCACTTCTTCCTGACTCCCTCCCTCACTTCCTTCCTGACTCCCTCCCTTCCTGACTGACTCCCTCCCTCCCTTCCTGACTGATTCCCTCCCTGATTGACTGCCTCCCTCCCTTCCTGATTGACTCCCTTTATCCCTCCCTCCCTTCCTGGTGGTGGTGTACAATGAGTATTAGGCTGGGCATTTCACTTGTTTATCTCTCAGTGGTAAAGGTTCACATGTTATATTTGGCGGCAAGTCTACACTTGGTTTTGGAGAGATTTTTAGGCTTAAAACTCTCTATCATTATATGCTGATCTGGCCAAATATACACTAGTCCAGCTTCTATGGACATTTTGGTCGGATAGAGAGAGAACTTTATCTGGTCATGATTTTTGCCAGATTAAGGCATTTTCCAGATTGCCGGTTCCCAAATTAACGAGCTTCTACAGTACAGTACAGTACAACCTCGATTCAACGTACTATATGGGACCACCCCCAGTTCGTTGGAGCGTTGGATTCGTTGCAAGAGGTGACCTTCAAGAGGCGTTTGCGTCAGTCTCTTTTTTTTTTCTTGTACACAATAAAAATGCATTGTATCATATTACTTACTGTACCTATATTTTACTACTCTACTAAAAAATACTGTAATTCACGTATTTACCTTATTGTTGGAGTTATGTCCATCTTGAAGTTTTTGTGAAGTTGTGAATGCTTTACAGTAAATACGTACTGCAGTGCATTAAGCTGTTAGCACTGTATTATTAAAAGTAGTTCTGCTGTATGTTGAGTACTACAATACAGTTCATGAAAACTATTGTACACTAGAATTACTGCAACTTTAATTTTAACACTATGTACACACTTAAATTTAACACTTATTCTAATTGTTCACTTCACACACGATGTTTTTAGATGTTTGCATCAGCTTTGCTGGTGCTCGCTGCTGCTGTGTTGGCTTCAGCTGCTTTTGTGCTGGTGCTGGGTACAGCTGTGCTGGTGCTGGGTACGGCTGTGCTGGTGCTGGGTACGGCTGTGCTGGTGCTGGGTACGGCTGTGCTGGTGCTGGGTACATTCGCTGTGCTGGTGCTGGGTGTGGCTGTGCTGGTGCTGGGTACGGCTGTGCTGGTTGATTTTCTGCTAGTTCGTGAAAAATATTGACTCATTTTCGTTTGTTTCCTTCTTTTTGTCATGTCCTTGAGACAAATATCTTTCATCATCCTTAGGTGTTGATAAAAGCCTGGTAGCTCTGGATTGTCAGTTTGTGAAACAATATCAAGGAGTTTTTCAACATAGAACAATGCGTCAGCACACGTAGCAGATTGTAAACTGCTATCATTCTCATCCTCATCTTCCTCTCCGTCGTCGTCAACAGTGCCAGTAACATTTTGTATAATCTCATCATCTGTTAAATGACCAATGGGTGGATCGACTGCATCAATATCTAACCACTCCTCCACATCGTTCAGCGTCAACTCCACCTCACCAGCGGCACGCAGTTCTTGATAAATATCATTTGAAAATCCTTCAAAATCCATTTCTTCCTCAGTCACTTCATCAGCATGATCAAGCAACAGGAGTTTTTTCCAACAATTTCTTAATGTTGACTCTTTAACTTCATCCCAAACTTTAGCCCAGTTGTAAATGGCTTCCTTAATTGAGTATTTTTTGTAACGTTCCAGTGTTGCTTGACCTCGCGAATCGGTTCCTTGTCTTTTGTCTTCATCTGACTCAAACACCACCATGATTTCTTTATTCATTGCTCGTTTGTAGAGCCTTTTCATTGCATATATAACACCCATATCCATTGGCTGGATCAGAGAGGTGGTATTGGGAGGCAAGGCCATACATTTGATGCGTCCATCATGTGACGTTAATGTGTCGAGCCCTACATGAGCTGGGGCATTGTCAACCAAGAGTAATGCCTTGACATCATTCCGTCTCACTCCACACTTCTTTATCTGAAAATCTCTTACTTCTTTGCAAAAATGATTTTTGAACCAGTCTACAAAAATATCTCCAGTAAACCAAGCTATTTTAGAGCTGTAGTAGACCACAGGTAGCTTGTTCATTAAATTTTTCAAAGCACGTGGGTTTTTTGACTTCCCCACAATGGCGGACTTTGTTCTGTGACTTCCGTCTGCATTTGCACACAGCATGGCAGAAACTTTTTCTTTGTTTACCTTACGGCCAGGAACACACTCATCTAGCCTAGATGCCAAAGTGTTGTTCTGCAAGCATTTCCAATTAAAGCCTGTTTCATCGGCATTGTATACCCGAAAACGCCTTAGATCATTTGTTATTATGTAATCATTTAATTTACGCTTAAATGGCTCGACTGAATCCGTATCTGCACTTAATGATTCTCCACAAACTTTCCTGTTCTTAATATTATGTGTATTCTTAAATCTTTGCAACCATCCTTCACTTGCTCGAAAATCTGGAATGTTCATCTTTTGTGCAAATTTATCGGCTGCTGTCTTAATGGCCTCGCCGCCAAGTGGCATCCCCACAGAGCGCTCCTGGTTAAACCATTTATACACAGCTTCGTCCAAATTCGTATTTGCAGAACCTTTTATTGTTTTTCTTTTATTTAATGCACCACTATCACTCGAAGCAAGGAACTTCCTAATGTCATCTTTCTGTCTCTTGATATCACACACCGTACTTTTCCCGACATTAAATTCTGCTGCCAGCCTAGTAACAGAGTAGCCACGTTCATGTTTCTCTATCATGTCTAATTTCTGCTCAATGGATAAAAAACTTCTCTTCCTCTTTGTAAATACAGCACGATTAGCAAGCCCTTGAGACATCTTGTTGTATATTAATAAAGCTGTAGTCAAAAAAATGGTAAATTCCACGATTATTCTTTCACCGGCGGACAAACACGTCACTCGCACGCAGACAAAGCTAACGGCACTGGGTGCCTACTGTATGAACACAGACTAGGTCTGTACACCCTCCAGTAGGCTGGTGTTTAAGCCAGATCCAGTAACATAAATTTCTCTCAAATATTGGATTTACATCAAATTATATATTTTTAGGTTATATATTTAGTTTAGTAACATTATTAGGATAATAAGAGATATAAAAAACTTATTTTAGAATTAATTTATTTATTTTATTATTTCGAAGCCGTAGTCACTGAACAGTGACGACGAAATGAAACGAGAAACGCATGGTGCTGTGTGTACAAGGATTAGACCCGTCCCCTTGCGCTGGAGTAGTTGTTCCAATAACAAATAATTTCTCAAATAGCAGATGTCTATCATATTACAGTATATTTTCGGTTTTATTTAGTTTAGTTTAATTAGGATAATAAAAAGCTATTAAAACACTGGTTTTAGAAATGATTTATTAATCTAAAACTTTCAAAGTCATGGGTCACTGAACTATAACGACACAGACAAAGGAAAACCAAGTGAGGTTTACAGTACAGTATTCCCTTATCTGTTCACCCTCACTCACCTTGTTTCATCACAGAAAATGACTCTAAGGAGATTTTACGACATGTATCTAACTAATCACACTTCAGCCTTTAAATTAATTTACAAAGATACGTCTGCCACAAATCAGTGAACGAAAATTATGGAAACTCGATCGTTCATTTGTGTGGACCACTCTGGCTGGTATCTGGTTCATGTGGTTGACTTGTTGTGTGGACCATTCTGGCTGGTGTTTGGTTCATATGGTTCACTTGTTGTGTGGTCCACTTAATTGTGTGATGCAACTTGTCTTATGAAGGAATTATTAATTGTAAACTGTGATAGAATGAGACAGTTTTCCACAACTCTGTGAACTTTGCAACATCGTAAGTTTGTGGACTCACTTGTGCGGTCCAATTGTGTGATCAAACTTGTCATATGAGGGAATTATTAATTGTAATCTGTGATAGAATGAGAAAGTTTTCCACCACTCTGTGAACTCTGTCCCAACATTGTAAGCTTGTGGACCACTTGTGCGGTCCAC